GACGGCCGGGGCATGATTTTGAGATATGCAACCGGGTACATCTCCAAATTTTCGCAATTGTGGAGTCTAGAAGGGCAACTCGACAAGCGCGATATCGCGCACAGCATCCTGTGGCAGTACCATCCACTTGAGATGGAAATGGTCCTTCAGCTCGCAAGCCACATCCTGCCCCAGTGCAATCACACAGGCCACATTCGTCGTTTCGTGGTGCCGGTGCCGTGGAGCAGCGGCCGATTACCACGGGAAATTGAACTGTACGAGAAGAGCACGTGGCGAGCAGACACTGTGCCATTGTTGGAATTCTTGCGTCGAAGCAATGCCAAGGGTGAGATTAGCTGGGATATTCGCCGGAGATATGAAGACGAGAAGCCGAGTTGTTCTCTGAACGAGTTTGCCAACAAGTGCTCGACGCAAGGGAACACCATGGTTGCAACAGTTCTTTATGCTCGGAGCAACGACAACTTCTTCAAGCAATGGTTGTTGCTGAACGTACCCTTTCGAAGCTTAGATAATCTCTGGCATCCCACTGTGGACGAAATCCCTGAGGACCTGCAAGGCCTGGCCTTGTGTCTGCACCACTGTCCAAGGTATTGGCAGTCCATGCCTGCCATACGACAAGAAATGGAAGCAGAAGCTTGGAAAGATTACCACATTGAGAACGTGATCTCCAGTGTGAAGGCAAAAACAGAGACCATTGCAGAGATAAGAACCGGAAATTATAAGCCACCGATCGAAAGCAGCCGTGAGAAGCATGTGGCCGCTGTACCCAACGAGAGCGAGTTGTCCGTTGAACAGCAACATATGGTGCAAGCTATTTCAGACAGAGTGACGAAGGCCGCGGAGAGACGATGCGGCGGAACGGTCGCAGCTGATCAGTGGAATGAGCACGTGCGACGGGAAAACGACGATCGCGCGATCTGTTGTCTCGGAGCAGCCGGTACAGGCAAAAGTGTTGCAGTCAAAACAGTCATTACGAAAGTGCAAGACCGGGCAAACGTGGCCATTGCGTGTCCAACAGGTTTGCTGGCAGCGAGTTACCGACGGTCATTTACAGGAGCCCACATCGACACAGTGCACGGTTTTTTCGCACTCCATGTCGAAGAGCATTTGACGGTGGACTTGCTCGCAGACTATGATTTGGTGGTTGTGGAGGAGATTGGCCAGTTAACAAGAACACAGTTCGAGAGAATTATGCGACTGTGGTTGGCAGCAGACCAGCGACCGTGCCTCGTTTTCCTGGGTGATTTCAAGCAATTGCCGTCTATAGATAACACCAACGCCAAAAGCAGTTCTTTGTGCAATTACATTAGATGGGTTGAATTGCGTCAGGTGCAGCGCAACACATGTCCGGAGTTGCGTCGCAAGTTGGCTCTGCTGCGCGACTGCCAGCCGACGGAGGCCCAGCTGCAAGCAATACTACGCGGACACTCCGTCAGCAACGGGGATCGCCCAACCCGCGAAGAAGTGGCGGGAGTTCTGGAAGGGCAGCGCGAGGTTACAATGGTAACGTTCACTCGCAGAGCTGCTGAAGAGCTCAACCAGATGGCAGTCCAAATCCAATTTGGAGACCATGAGCCACTACGCATCATCCCGACAGACCCAGATGCAAACTGCGACAACAAGCAGCGCGGAGAGTATGTCAATTTTGACTGCTCTTCTATCGCGTTGCACATCGGCATGAAGCTGATGTTGACTCGCAATGTAAATAAGGAAGGCGACCATGTGAATGGAATGTTTTGCCATTTGGAAGCTGTCGGCCGACATGGCATCAGGGTCAGAACGGCCACCAACAAGATCGTTTTGGTGTGCCCACAGACTGAAACCCAGTTGCTCTCTGACGGCAGCGTAGCCAGGGCGACGTTCTACCCCTTGCGATTGGGGTATGCGACAACCTTGCACAAGCTGCAGGGTGCCACACTTGACTACATGGCCCTGTGGTTGGATCAGGAGGGCATTCAGGGTGCGGGGTACGTGGCACTGAGCCGCGTCAGAAAGGACACGGACTGGTGTTTCCTCGGTCGGTTGAAGCCGACTCATTTCTGCCCCTCATGGGCGTGAAGCTCATCGCGAAACGCCGCGCAGTCTCGCATTGGCACGAGAAAAATGTGGGGAGGGCGATGCCGAGTGACGTCGGGAAGAAGTTCCGTATTGTCAGAGAGCTGCGACCAAGCTTTCGTGGCTCAAGCATCTAGCCGAGGCATGTTGTGGGTGTATGCATGAAGTCACTGGCCAACATGACATGTAGTGGGACAGACAGAGTTGCGAGAGCAGTTGCTTTGCCAGCCGAAACAGGGACAAGTAACGCGAAAGCACGAAGTTGTTCACCTTTCTACGGTTCAGATTCCTAGTCGAGGCATGTTATGAGTATATGTAGGAAGTCATTCGCGAACATGACATGCAGCGGGACAGACAGAGGTGCGGTTGCTTGGCTCGCAGAAGCGAAAATAAGCGTGGAGCAGCAAAGAGCTTCTTCAAATGCACGTCCCAAGTACCGTTGATATATTTTTGCAATTGCATATCGGATGATGTTGTTAACGTTTCCGTGGCCTGAATTTGAGCAATCCAAGATCCAAACGAACGCACACGACCAGAAAGGCAGTGTTTTGCTGCAGAATGTGGCTTCGGCCGCTTTGGGCACCCATAGGCACCGGATGGTTGAGAGCAGGCGCACGAAAAGAACGGCCCTGTTTTGCTGCAGAATATGGCCCCGACCTGCTTGGGCACACACGAGCACTCGAGGGTCCATTTTTAGACCCGAGCTCCGAGGACGGATTTAGGGATTGGGAAGGCGGCTAAGAGCAGCCACACGAAAAGAACGGCCCTGTTTTGCTGCAGAATGTGGCCCCGACCTGCTTGGGCACACACGAGCACTCGAGGGTCCATTTTTTGATCCGAGCTCCGAGGGACGGAGTTTAGGGATGGGGAAGGCGGCTAAGAGCAGCCACACGAAAAGAAAGGGGGGCACCTCGAGATTCGCAGCCGGCGTAGTCTAAAAGGCACATTTTATGAACAGAATTTGTCACTTGAAAATCACCAGAATTTTCCAAATTTTCGGAGGCAGGAATGTGGGGACGGAGTTTAGGGATTGGGAAGGCGGCTAAGAGCAGCCACACGAAAAGAACGGCCCTGTTTTGCTGCAGAATGTGGCACCGACCTGCTTGGGCACACACGAGCACTCGAGGGTCCATTTTTTGATCCGAGCTCCGAGGGACGGAGTTTAGGGATGGGGAGGGCGGCTAAGAGCAGCCACACGAAAAGAACGGCCCTGTTTTGCTGCAGAATGTGGCCCCGACCGGCTTGGGCACACACGAGCACTCGAGGGTCCATTTTTTGATCCGAGCTCCGAGGGACGGAGTTTAGGGATTGGGAAGACGGCTAAGAGCAGCCACACGAAAAGAAAGGGGGGCACCTCGAGATTCGCAGCCGGCGTAGTCTAAAAGGCACATTTTATGAACAGAATTTATCACTTGAAAATCACCAGCAATTTTCCAGAATTCTGGAAGCAGAATGTGGAAAATCTAAAATTTAGAGCTGGTTGTCCTTTTCCGAAAAGGACAAGCGCGACTAAACGTAGAAATCTGAATTTAAGAGCTGGCTGTCCTTTTCCGAAAAGGACAAGCACGACTAAATGCAGAAAATCTAGGATTTAGAGCTGGTTCTCCTTTTCCGAAGAAAACAAGCGCGACTAAATGTAGAAAATCTAGATTTTAAAGCTGGTTGTCCTTTTCCGAAAAGGACAAGCGCGACTAAATGTAGAAAATCTAGATTTTAGAGCTGGTTGTCCTTTTCCGAAAAGGACAAGCGCGACTAAATGTAGAAAATCGAGATTTTAAAGCCGGCACACGAAAAGAACGGCCTTGTTTTGCTGCAGAATGTGGCCCCGACCTGCTTGGGCACACACGAGCACTCGAGGGTCCATTTTTTGATCCGAGATCCGAGGGACGGAGTTTAGGGATTGGGAAGGCGGCTAAGAGCAGCCACACGAAAAGAAAGGGGGGCACCTCGAGATTCGCAGCCGGCGTAGTCTAAAAGGCACATTTTATGAACAGAATTTATCACTTGAAAATCACCAGCAATTTTCCAAATTTACGGAGGCAAAAATGTAGAAAATCTGAATTTAAGAGCTGGCTGTCCTTTTCCGAAAAGGACAAGCACGACTAAATGTAGAAAATCTAGGATTTAGAGCTGGTTGTCCTTTTCCGAAGAGGACAAGCGCGACTAAATGAAGAAAACCTTGATTTTAGAGCTGGTTGTCCTTTACCGAAAAGGACAAGCGCGACTTAAATTTAGAAAACCGGTTTAGGGCTGAGGTAGGTGGCTAAGAGCGGCCGCAGAAAAGATGGTTTAGAGCAGGCGCACGAAAAGATCGGCCCTGTTTTGCTGCAGAATGTGGCCCCGACTTGCTTGGGCACACACGAGCACTCGAGGGATCCGATGGTTAGAAACACCGGTTTAGGGATTGATATAACTATATCTTTACGGAAGACTTGTAATCAGTTATGAGCTTACTAGTAAATGGAAGTAATTATGTCTATAATTACCATTTACCTCGTACAGACTAGAGAGTCTTTCGTTTCCTTCCCGAACAAGGTGTAGTACGCTCCTGTACGTAATAAGGCTTAAGCTGAGCATTCAGGCTTAAGCTTTTGAGTTTAGGGTTTAAGGTTTAGGGTTTAGGGTTTAGGGTTTAGGGTTTAGGGTTTAGGGTTTAGGGTTTAGGGTTTAGGGTTTAGGGTTTAGGGTTTAGGGTTTCGCTGCGAGTGCGCTGTCGACCCCTCCATGAAGTGGTTGGGGTCGGCGCATGAGCTGCAATGCCCACCCTCCCACCCTAATTTCAAACCTTGAACGGGTTTAGGGTTGTCTACCCCCCCAACCCCCCCTAGCAAGGGGGGCTTATATGGTTTACAGAAAGGATTTGTGAAAAGCTTTGAAGAGTGTATTTGGTAAAGTACCACAGTGAAAGGGCGCTTGTGAAGGATAGGCATGTAATCATATGCATGACATGAACATGATCTCGCCTGCAGCCAAAATTGCACAGTCGTTCTCTTTAGCATGCGACATGGCGACCTGTACATATATCACCTGCCGATGTGAAGCGAGTTGTCGTCATGCAACGGCGTGTAAAACTGTAGGTGATGTCGTCAGATTGCTTTCGCTGTGAGTCCAGGCTTGAGCCAAGACTGCGCGAGAGAGACGACTGCGAGGCTCTCGTCCGAGCATGCTACTTGCATCTGCGGGTGGCATCAACAAACATGCATCAAGTCACCCGTGATATATACGGAGCAGTAGCGGCAACTGGCAAGCTTGTTTTGGCACCTCCGATGCTGCTTGTTGTGGGAAGTTGAAGCTCGGCTGCATGGAGCATACACCGTGCTCTGCGCTTCCTGCACCGTTTACTGCTCGCGCGGCACCAGTGACTCCGAAGGGATAGCGTTGAGGCTGCCTTCGCAACATGCTGCGGGCTACCTGTACACGTAGCGCCTGCCGAGGTGAAACGGCTGTTGCTAACTACGTCATTTCGCCGGCGTGAAATGGTGCTCCGTCAAGATGCCCGCCAGCAGGAAGTCCTTGTAGTAACCGACCCGTTGATGAAGTCGATGTCTTTCCGCACGTTGCGTGTCAGGTAAACCTTCATGCCCTTGTAGACGGGCATGGCGGACGGCTGCAGCTCGCCGGGCGCCTTCAGCTTGCCTTGCACGTAGTTCTCGGGGTTCGCGTCCACGTCAGCCGGCAATGTCACAAGGGGAGCGTAGTTGGGAAAGAGGGCCTTCAAGGCAGCTGCGTTGACCGAAGCAGCACCTCGCCTGGTGCACGTGAGGATGGTCGTGTGGGGCTTGGACTTCAGGAGCTTCCGCAGTCCCTTCACGGTAGGTGGGCCAGGCGGCCGCCAGGCCATCTTCTTGCGCAGTTGTCGGAGACGCTTGGCGCTCGGCTTCCCGGTCCTGAGTACCGCCAGGAGCTTGGCGTGCACCTTGTCCTTGCACCGGTACATCTTGTGCAAAGCCACTCGATAGCACAGGATGTTCCAGAGGCGCCCATGCCAGGGCCGCCGTTCTCCCATGCCGGCCATCTGGTAGCGGTCGCCCAGCAGCGCCAGTGCCGGCACGCGATCTGCAGCTGCCCAGAGCTTCAGGATCTTCTCGAAGTTCACCATGTCCAGCTGCGAGAGCTCGTCGATGACGATGAGGGAGTACATGCTCAGCAAAGATGCTTCCCCGTGCTCTGCAGCCTCATGGAGGCCGAAAGCGGCATGGCAGGTGTCGATGTCCACCTTGTGACCGTAGCGTGCCTTCATGCGACTGGACAGCTGGGCCGTCGGCAGAGCCATCAAGACCTTGCCGCCCTTGGCCAAGGCCCGATCGAGGCAAGAGAAGATCACGGTGGTCTTGCCAGTTCCGGGGGGCCCGAGGCAAACGTTGGCCTTGCTGCTTCGAGCTTCTTGTCGTAGACAGTCTGCCTCGCCCTCGTCCTCTGTTTCCTCTATGGTCAACGCGCGGTCCACGGCGGTGTCCACGAGCTCTTTGAAGCCTCGCTGCAGGTCAGGAGCGAAGCTTTAATTTGCACGCTGGCTTCACATGTAGAGGCTGATGCAGACGAGGCGCGGAGTTGCTGTCTGTTGAACTTGCTGGCATCCACAGGACCCGCTTTCTTCTTGGAGGCCTTCTTCTCACTGCTGCGCTTCTCTTGGGCCTGCTGCTCCTTTCGGGCATCCAGGGAGCCGTCCAGGTACTCCTGCAGCAAGCCGCGGTGAACGCGGATCATGGCGAGGATGGTGTCCACGTGGTCCTTGGTGTGCGCCTCCATCTTCAGCTCCGCGCGGATCTTCTCGTCGTCCTGCCACATGGCCTGCGCCCCAGGATGCTCGCAGAGGACCGCCATGGCGAAGTACTTGTGGGCTTCCGGGAGCCGTCGCGCGAGGTTCTGGGGCAGGCAGAAGTCCGTGGCCTTCTCGAAGGGAACATGAAGCATCAGCCACTGACCGAAGAAGCGGTCGTTGAACTTGGAGACGGTCTGGGCGGCCACGACTTTCTCGCCCTGCATCACGTAGCTCGCAGCAA